GCCTCTCTGTCTCTCTCTTATATCGAATGCGGCGAAATTGAACCATCTTCGGACTGATATTAGAGACTTAATTTTTACATTACTGTATTTTGCAAGTAATTCAAAATCACTTTAATTATGAACAGCGGTTTTAAGGACAAAATACCTACAGTAAATAACTTGCCACACCGAAAACAAAGACAACCAACAAACGATAACAGCGATATTGAAATGTTGTTTGCCCGATATTGAAATGTTGTTTGCTCTTTGTTCATTCATAAAAGATAATCATAGCTAGTTTTACCTGTCAGTGCTGTTTAATTTTTAAAAAGAAAATTGTATAATTATCAAATATTTTCTAAAGATATTCCAAATATATTCTAAAATTAATTATTGTCTCCGAACAAATTAAAACAACATCACACCTTGTCTCGAACCGTGTGCCGTAACACGTGTTTGATCAAGTCGTCATGACTTGTGCAACCTTGAAATAGAACCGTGTTATTAATATCTCCATTCATTACTAAATATACTCGTGTAAGTTGTGTTTTGGAGATTTGCGGCTTAATCCGCACAACAAAAAAGCATGGTTTTTAATAATACCATGCATAATAGTGATTGAATTTTGTGGAAAATTTTGATTCTTGGATCGTAATCACCTTAGTCTTTGATGTTAACCAGGTTTAAATTAGAACACGGAAGTCTCGAAGTATTCGAGATGCTACTACGTCTTGGGGATTAAATATTATAACAAAAAAATGGCCTCAAATAAAGATCTATAATTATATACGTCATCGTTTTAAATACACGTGTTTCAATCTAATTTTAAAATTTCAAAGGCATGCTTTCCGTTCTAAGAGGATTTCAGCGTTTATTTTAAGCAATCCCTCAAGACAGCAACGTGATTCACGTTTCATATCGTCATCGTACTTATTTTGTTGACTGGAAACTTCTGCATGTTCGATATATCGAAATATTACTTACTTATAATCATCTATTTTTTAACCGATTTGAGGGACATTGTTATAATTTCCGTATTAAAAAATATACTAAAACGAAATTGGTTTTGCAAGAGGTTTCCGTCAGTCGTCCTATGATGGCTGATCTAGGGAGGCTTTGTTGATCAAGTTTCGTTTCATATTTTTCTTATTGTCAGGGAAATTCCACATAATCGTGTTCGATATATCGATTTGGTATATACGCATCATCATGATTTAAGAGGACCTAAGTGACATTATTTTTTATGCTTCTTAAAGCGACTATATAGCACATATTAAAAATCATTACGAGAAAAAAGAAAAGAAAATAACATGCGTGTTTTATTTCAAAGTATATAAAGAAATTATACGAACGATATTTATTATCGTGTATTGTTAAAGCCTTCTTGCGTCATTGAAAAAGATGATTTTTTAGTTGTAATATCACTCCAAAAAATGGTTCAAATTCGTTCAGTATTTACAAAGATATGTTGAATTGAAATTTCATTCATCTATGCTACTCGCTATGTAAAAAGCCAGTCGCCATTTTGTTGCGGGCGAACTGAATACGTAGGCTTATTTTAAATCCAAATGAATCAAAGCCGGTACATTATCTACTGTTTGTATTTTGATTTTGTTTTCTTAATTAAATGTTAAATAATCAATCTGAATACATACTAGCGTGACTTCAAACGTGAGATATCGTTTCCTTAAAACCTAAAAATACTGATGAAATTATATTTTAAGGAAGTTTTCGTTCAGTCTGTATGTTGCTGTTGTCTGTTCTATTTCAAGGATCTATTGTAATTATGACCACGGCATTATATCATTTAATACCATAAATAGATCCATTGAGTCGGTTGCCGTATCTATAAATAAATAACAATATGACGAAATTGATATTAACTTTGATTGGAATATATAAAAGAAAATAAAAAACCTTTTATATTTGTTTGTTTGTAAAGAAGATTTTTACAACCAGGCACTGTAAATTACATAAAGTCTTACATATATTGTTAAGGATGATCCTAATGTCACGATATTAAACAAACAGCTAACCGTTTAGACTTATTGCGGGAATGTTCGGCTTTTTTCTGTTTAATAATGATAATCAACACTGATCAATAAATAAATGGAATGGTTCTCAGAATTTAATATTTTAAATAAACATACACAATTTCATTCATTCATGAACTGAACTGAAGAACGACGGGTTAGTTCAAGTGATTTCATAGTCAGCCTTTTGACGGATACATAAAGCAAGTAGGTGTTAATATATTTGATCTATTATTTATGTTATGTTAACTATAAGCGACATCTTGGGGCGCACTTGATTCATCTTTATGGGTAAGAATTCTAACATTCAAAAAAAAAAAGCAAAGGCTACCGTGATTTACAATTCAAAGTCACAAGTAATGACCATTCGGCCATCTACGGCAATGTTTATTCAGGCCCTCTTAAGGTACTTTAGTGGGATGATTATCATGCAAGTTTTGTGTGTGAATTGTTATTTAAGTAGCTAAGATATTGTTAAGTAAGTTTATGCATTGACGGACGAGTGTTTGCCAAACCTCTTACCAGTGAATAGACGCAAAGTTGGCAAATCGCCGTCAACAAGTGGGCCCCTTGGGTCATCGTCAGCTTAGCGTTATTATACATGTTTAATACCTTGCCGGTAGCTATGTGCTTCATTCTTTATATACTAAATACCCGAGTAAAACATATTACATAGATAACTGTCAATAATATAAACCACCTTTTATTATGTATAATAATATGTAATAGGTATAGTTATTACTTACTATAAATATACAGATAACAATAACAAAGTTGGACTCGAACTCATATATCTCTAATAATATGTAATATGTATGGAATTTTAGTAGAATTTAATATTATATCTGAAATCGTGTGTAATTCGATTTTACATAGACAAATTATACAAAAAAAGGGGGGGGGTCGAACTTTAAATATCTGAAATCGTATATAGCTCGGTTTTGCATAGACAAACTATGTAAACAGGGTGGGTTCGAACTCTGCTTCCCGCTGACAATTATATCTAATAATATGTATGGAATATACTAGAATTTATTATAATACCCGAAATTGTGTGTAGCTCGATTATACATTGATAAGATATATAAACAAAGTGGTTTCGAACTCTGCTTTCTGGTGGCATTCAAATCTAATGTAAAATGTATGGAATTTAATATAATATCTGAAATGGTGTATAGCTCGGTTATACATAGACAAAATAAGGTGGGTTCGAACTCTGCTTCTTGTTGGCATTCAAATCTAATAATATGTAAACTGTATGTTATTTAATATAATATATGAAATCGTATATAGCTCGCTCGGTTATACATAGACAAAATAAGGTGGGTTCGAACTCTGCTTCTTGTTGGCATTCAAATTTAATAATATGTAAACTGTATGTTATTTAATATAATATCTGAAATCGTAAATAGCTCGGTTATACATAAACAAAATAAGGTGGGTTCGACCTCTGCTTCTTGTTGGCATTCAAATCTAATGTAAAATGTATGAAATTTAATATAATATTTGAAATGGTGTGGAGATCGGTTTAACATAAACAAAATATATAAACAAAGAGGGTTCGAACTTTAATAAATATTCCTACTTGTACTGAAAGACATAAGCCATGATAAAATGTCGCGAATTAGACTGAAAATAATGCGCGGATTACGACATATAAAAGCGGGATTATATATTCAGTCACGTGACAGGGATGATTAAATTATATACGTGTGGTTTAATCAACATTAATTAACCTATAAATAATTAGATGATTTTGAGACTAATCTGGTAATATTTATTTAAAAACAAAAGAGATGTGAGACGTGTTTTAATCCGATTGAATTCAAACAGAGACATTACATATTTGATTGGATTTTCTTAAGATACATTATGTAAGATTTAGATAAAGAGCTAGCAATTCTTGCTATAATAGTTCGAAAATAAATAATGTTAAATGAATAATTTGAAAATTTCATTCAAATTACTCTATTGCGACCGAAGATATTAGCCTTAGCAGGTTTGACAACCCTACTGGTTGTTCAAAGCTCATTCTCGCTCCTCCATTTTTAAATTAAATCTAAATAATGCTGAACCGCTCTAATCTATTTAATATCGAAGAAATCCGATGCCACCGAGAGTTGATTATGGCCTGGATCAGTTAATTAATGTCTAAGTAATAATTTAGAAAACATTTCAGGCCTAAGGAAAGACCTGCAATAGGCAGATTTAGCTCTTGCATAATGTATGTTTAATTAAATGATGTTAAATAGTCCATTTTAGTATATTTTAGCATTGATTAACCCTTTGAAAATTAGATAAATTCAAATGGCGATCGCCGGTTTTACGGGTATTTCGCTTATAAGATTCAGGGAGTAAGAATATGATTAAACTTATTTAGAATATGTCATCGATTATGGTAGAATGATTGATTGATGGTCAGAAATCAACAATATGTTGATTTCTCTTTCTTTGTCTTGATTTCTTAATGGCCGTGTGAAATCGTATGTCCATGGTCTATTTTGCTTACATGCAATGAGATATGTATTCATATTATAAGTTACGATATACACATATAATATGACTACGTCACACAACACAACAAAACGTGTGTAGTAATATTATTACTATATAAAATTCACTTCTACTCAGCCGTAAGCCGTATACAAAAAAATTCGATACCAGAAAGGCATGCGCAATGAACCCAATATTTTTATTCATTCATATTGCGAAGTAGTTCTACGAGAAAACAAAGACATGTCTAACGATGAGTTAAGGATCCATGTTAAAATCTATTAATGTATATCTGTCTAATTCAAATACTAGTAATAAGAGTATAAAATCTGAAAATAGCCATCTGGTTAATCGATGCATAGAGGGTTGGGATTTTTTTTGCGGCGATTACTGAATAGGGAAATAGTATCAGAGGGTTTCTTCGTTTCTTCACTCGCCTTTCAATATCTGTCTATTGATATGAGCAGCTCGACCGTTAACTATTGGACTAGGTTCTATTACAGTGTGTGTACTGTATTACTGGCAAAGGTACAACACGCCAATCAACGCGGACAACAGTCGTAGTCTGCGGATAGTAAAAAGATTTGGAGGCCGAAGAGACACGGCGAGGTGTGTGTGTGTGATACGCAGACATGTAGGTTTGATAAATGTACTCGACGTAAGTGTCAGTATCGCGTCAGAGTGGGGGCTTGTAACGAGGTGAATTTACACCAGCAGCGAGTTCGTCAACGAACAGGTGACAATATACGACCAACTTGTACTTGCCGATGTTTCGTCTTTCATTTTTACCTGGTCGAAAAAAATCCGCACGGTCCTGATTCCAGCATCAAGCGTCGGTGTCGGTGCCACCCTTCGACCATCGATTACCCAATGCCTGCCAATGGATTAAACAGCGTGATGGAATGGGAATCTAGTCGCAGTAACCGATGATTTTCGTATTCGTGTGTTGTTGTAGTGTAACGTGGGAATTATCTGCAATGATCAAGCAGTGGTAACAACAATGTGTCCAATACTATATCATACTTTACTAAAAATGAGAATTTTATAGAAATATGCTTGATTCAGCGGAAAGGCCGTTTTGAGGTTGTTTTCTTCCTTTACTCGTTTGAAGCAATTAGCTCGGTGACTAAGTGTTGACGGATTCCATTCTTCATCTTGTTGAAATGTGAGATAAATTCATTCATCTGATCTCTTCTTGCCTCGGGAATCACCGGGCTTTTTATTCCGAAAGAATCGACGGACTGCTATTAGAAATAGCTGTATACAGTCGCAGCGAGTGGTCTGAAATGTGTTAGAGTTAAAAACCCCAGTAACAGCGACCTGGCGCGTTTAAAAACAAGCCTAGTATACATCTTAACGAGGTGATAACTTTATATATGTTATTACTATTCTTAAAAAACAGGATACAAATACATCAACAATTTACCTATATACATATATATACAAAACTGACTTGTTTATTTTATATACCTAGATACTAAACCGTCTTAAGTCTAAAAGCATTTAGGATTATTTGAAGTAAGAAAATAACAGGATCAAAATTTGTTTGGTTTTTTTAAATAATAAAAACATTTCCTTTAATTCTTAAATTTGAGAAGTTGTATCGGATAAATATTTGTTATTTTGTTTTGTATAAAATATTGTTATTGTTTAAGATGTGTTATAAAATATTTTTTAAGGTGTGTTATAAAATATTCACATTGTGGACTACATATATTCTTAAATGTTTAAGAATTCACTTGAAATATTTCAAGATTATTTATTTCAAATAACAATGGGTGGTTTGTATACAAAACATTGTTAAACTCTAAAGGAGCTCAGGTGAATATTGATGCAAGATGTTAGTTTTATCTATGAATTTTATCAAAATATTGATCGGTTTTCAACCAGTCGTAAATGGATTATTCTAATAATCGAGTTAGTTAGAATATATGTTTACAATCTGTAAAACGTGTTTGTTTATGTCATGGATGTTTAAAAATAATTCTAGTTGATTAAACGTTGTTTAAATTCTCTTATTCTAGGTTTATCTTACAATTTGTTTTGGTCTGAGTGGTAGATGGACAACCGTTAGTCCGACTCCGAAAACAAGCAAACTACCACGATTCCATCTTACGACATTCAGACGCTAGTCATACGAACAAACTGGATATCTCCATTGTGGACGACGCAATGCCGGCCAAAGGTAAGAACACTTTTTTGTTTATTTTCTAAAACTATGTTATTAAAATTTAGTTGGTTTTTTTTCTACCTGATATGTTTTGTTTTTTTTAAATAATATTTAGAAACATAACAGTTTTTTGGGGTATAGTTTATAAATTAACAACGCCATGTAGGTCGGACAAACTAAACAAAAGAAGCCCTTTTGTAGTTTTAGCTCTAGATGTTCGAAATTTTAATATTTAATACAAAATATATCCTATTTATTAAATGAGGCATAGAGTTGCTGGGGTTATTGTAAAAACCAAAACCTACTAATCTGGCTGTCTATATAGTATTTTATTACCCTATAAAAATCAATACATACACTTCGTTAACTATGTCATAAGGTGAAAGATATAAAAGATCTCCTGCGACATGTAATGTATGAAAATACATTATGACCTCATGAATATTAATAAGAATAAAAATCCAAATATAGACACATATATGTATTAATATAATGTAGATAAATAAATGTTTGTTTATAAAATGATTTTTCTCAATCGATAAATTTGTATTTCTTTTTTTTAATTATTGCGCTAAAATACCTTTTAAAATATAATTTATTAGAGAAAATAATTAAACTATTTTTGTTGTTTTATTTTTGGTCAAAACCCGTAACTTCTGTGCTAAATATTGTTTACTTGATTGCATTAAATTATGAATAAATATCCACCTATAAGAATTCTTACATATACACACACGTACATTTATAATCAAGTTATATTTATAAATAAACCAAATATGGATTTTAAAGTGTTATACGTTACTAAATATTGAATATCTAAAGTCTATTGTGTATTCTGTGCGTTTCGAATAAATATACATAGTATATTTTAATCAACTTATTGGTCGAGATGTGGGGTGAGGGGTGAGAGAAATAATTTTCCCAACATTATTTTTTTTTCACAAATACATTCATTGTTTACTATTTCAAAAATAAATCGATATTTTCTTATTAAAACCTTGAATTCCTCCCCTCCCGTTATTTAATGAACACATATTAAACAGATACATAATAAATGACGCGCTATAAAGGATACGTGTTTGATTAGAAACAATGAAAGATTCACGATTAATACGTATTGTCAATACCTATTTCATTAATATACTTGTTATGTCGGCTTATATCAAAGAGATACTCTAACTTTATCGATCGAATAACTTAATGTCAATAACGATCAATTGTTTTCAGTTTTTATTTCGTTCCGTAAAATATAATTAAATGATTTTTCGCAATTAATAAACATCCTTTAAATTACATACATTAAATTCTGAATAAGTCATTCTGCATACTGAATGAGAAAATCGAAAGAAGGGATCCTTTAATTCCATTCATGTTGGCTATTATCTGTTGGATCAAATTAAAAATGTATGATTGAATATGTTACTATTTATATCAATTATTCTATAAATTGTTCGGGTTGCGGACTACTTTTTTTGAAAGTACAAACATACTTTCTTTTTTTTTGTTTTGTTTTTTTTTACAAAACACCAACCCAAACAAAAATCTTATCATGTTTTGTTTGTGTATCTTCAAAAAGATTTTCACAAAACCAATACAAAATGGTTGTAATGATCTAAAGAATTGAGAAGATTTATTGTCATGCAAAATCTCTTGATTCTCGTGTAATATTCATCTTGAATTCTAACCCAAGTGACTCAGGCATCGATTTACTCCAAATAACACAAAAAAATGTCAAAAAATACACCGGCCTCAAATTCTATCACTTCTTCCCAAATTTTAATTTGCTGTGACGCAATCTATGACAAAGGCAGTGAGAAAAATATGCAGGAATTCTGAATTCTCCAGAGAGACAATTTTCATGTTGGGTATCGACAGGAGAAAAGTTGTAATGGTTCATACAAATTACTGCTGTCTGATTCCATCTCTTAACATCCATTAACTGGCCTCTTTGTTTTGGCTGCCGTCTGCCCCAAACAAGACGAAGGAGATTTGAAGAGCAATTGACTAAAACACTAAACTGAAAAACAAAGTTTAATAGTCATTTTTGTGTGCTTTTCTCTTTAGAAAAAAACACGGGGTCTTCGTGTTGATAGCCATCACGTTAATGGCCGCAAGTGGACTTCCGTCTCACGAGCTGACTAGCGAGCCACGTTCAAAACGCGCCACAAACCAACGTGCGCAACAATTAATGAATAGCAAGTGATGGCGGTTTAAGGGCAACTTTTTCCTGTCATAGCTTTAAGCGGCAATAAATTAAAGATGATACAGATCAATAAAGATTTAGAGAATTGAACACATTAACCCTCTACTTCACCGTTTATATCAGCAAACATCACTACATTCTCCGTGTTTGTTATGTTGCATGTGTTTTGGGTTAATCATAACTAAATTTATCAGTCAAAAGAATTTTGTTTCTCACCAATCCCGTGTGTGTGAAATAGCTTTATTTAACGTCCACTTCCAACGAAGTGATATCGCTGACAAAATAACCCATCCCACATCCCACATATTGGTGGTTTATACAATATGTCTCTGATTAACCAGTCCCTTCATCTTGTATAAATTCGTTGATTATTTTAGAAGTCTATATGCACCTAACTATTCACAAATATGTGACTTGATATTAGAAGCGACCCCAGTTGTTTCGTTTAGAACACATCTGTTCCGTTAGTCATGTTTGTTGGGTGCTGGCCCAATTGGTGGATACTATTTATTGTTGGGTGCTGGCCCAATTCACCAGAACCATTCATTGTTGGGTGCTGGTCCAATTGATCGATACTATTCATTGTTGGGTGCTGGCCCAATTGATCGATACTATTCATTGTTGGGTGCTGGCCCAATTCACCAGAACCTTTCATTGTTGGGTGCTGACCCAAGTGACCAGCACTTATCATTGTTGGGTGCTGGCCCAATTGACCAGCACTTTTCATTGTTGAAACCATGCCCACTCCACTCCAGGATTGATTTATCAGATTCACCTCTGACAATGTATGTATAACTTATTGTTCTAGATTTTATTATGAATCAATGTTTATTTATTTTTGTAATCAACTAGACGTCAATATGAACACCAGCTTGTTGTGGACTTAATAATATCAATAGTACACTCTGGGATAATATTATTCAAAATACTATGAAATTTATGCTAGATCCATAAATAGAATTCAGAATTTCATAAACATCAAGATCGCCTTTTAATATCCTTGGTTATGTTTGCCTGTGATGCATACCTAAAACCAGGGGGATGCTATAGGGAAACAAAACCTGGTAAATTATAGAGATTCCAGTTTGAAATGGCTAACAATTTTTTTGCATTCTTGTATGTAGTATGTTGTTTATTTTTGTCCATCATCCATTACTCGTCTGATATTTTCGAAATTGTGTGCAAGTTTATGATAATATACGTTCTGGGAACCTTGAACCCTGATTGCAAAAATTTAAGCTCAAAATGTTGTAAAATTGGTAGCCATTATGGTGAACAGCTACTCGCCCAGTTCTTAGGCCATTCTTATTCTTGTCTCTTTTACAAGCGAAAATTCTGAATACGACTTGTAGCCAACTGGTAACCTACGACTCAATAATTGACATGGGAGATCTGAAGGAGAAATCGCATGAATTTTGTCGATATTAGCGCTAAGCCCCTAGTAATTATTAGTTAATCTCCGTTCTAATAGGGTTGACCCACCACCCTTATCTTAATGACCTCGACTGCAACAGTCTCGCAGATATGTCACTTCCGTGTAGACACGAACATCACGCCAGACAACAAAAAGAATACATTAAAGATAAATGTTTTTTTTCTCTCTCTCTTTCTTCGGGACAAATCGAACGATCATGCATAAAACTATTGTTACATATAAGATGACTAGACTGAACAATGTTACAATAAGCACGTTTTTTTAAAAAAAAAAATTAGTACGCAATGAAATGATTACGAAGATAAGACGTTCTGCGCCAATAGCGACACCGAGTGTCAAATATATATGAATATTGGGCAAAGATTAGCCCCGTTAAAAACTGAATAAAATCCAATCAAGCTTATATCACGCCATATTGTATTATTACGTCAACATGATTTAAAGTAATGGTGGTTTCTGTTCTATTGCGTGATCGGACGCGACCAAGCATGATATCCGAGTCTATGGTCTTGATTAAGTAGGCCAAGATAGGATTTAACCGAATCTAACGGTTTGTTAGAGGGAATGAATATTTAAATATAGAGAGCACCATTAACGTGCAGGCCTCATTTCACTCACAATCCCCTCTGATTGATTTGAGATTTCAATAACGCTACATATTCTTAAATATTGGTTCTGCTATGGTCGTCTGTAAGACGAGTCTAGGACATACGCTCAGACGAATAAATTTTTATATTTTTTATGTCAAGAAAGCGTTCATAATCCACATCATTGAACATCCCCTTATCCTATTTTCTGATATATTTTTTTCCACGATCAGCGACCGAAAAGTACTTTCAGCAATAATTTGGTTTACTAAATATTTACGAATGTGTTCAATATAATAATAACATTAAGTTCTTTTTTTATGCTTTGTTGCACTTGGACCATATACATCAACGATCAAAGAGATAAGTCATTAACCTCTCAACAAATTATTTATTTCTGTTTGTATAGAGGCTGAAAACCAATGTGTTTTGGTCATCCGTCACCGTTTTCTCTTCTAGAATGGTTGAAATAGGCATAAAGTAGGATTGAAATCACTGCAATAGTTGGTACAGAAAGTAGGACGAAAAAAACAATTTCATTTCATTATCTATTTTATCAAATCTTTATCAAACTAGTTTCATTAGCCCAGTTGGTGCAGAAAATTAGGACGTTAAACCTCATTTCAGTTCATTATTTATTTTAGCAAAACTAATGTTATGTTCAATCAAACGGGTTTCATTATCCCAGTTGGGGCAGAAAAGTAGGACGTTAAACCCCATTTCTTGTCATTATTTACTTTATCAAAACTAAATTCCCAATCTCACAAATATTAAATTAAGGGGCTCACACCTAATTCCATCTTTCCTGGAATTATCCCGCGCCTACTAAATACAACTTTACCAAACAATGGAACCATATCATGTACATGAATACGTGCTATTGATTTTCATGGTTTTTATGACAGAAGACGGTGATGCCTTGTCAATTATAGAAAATGCAGCCTTACACCTGTTATATACCTTAATTATAACCACACAGAAATATCTTTTACATAACCTTTTAAATATTGAAACATGAAAGAAACGTTCACGCACGGTCAATCTTATAATTAAAAGCGGTTATTTGTCGTCACCGAGAATAAAATATGAAAGACAACGAAATGGATATCAAAAGGAATTTAATGAAATACTTTTCATCATTATGTAGAATTTTTTATTTTGTTATTTGGATGTTATAATCGGATTGTTCTGAAATCTCGTTTATTGATCGATTTTTGTGTCCGGCCAATTTTCGTCCATTTTTCGATCTTGTGTTTGTTGGTATAAGTTTGATTTCTTAAAAAATTTCAATTTTTATTATTTGTATTTCCGGTTTCACTCTGCTAATCAATCCGCAGAAAATGTCCAATTGTTCACCATTGGTCGTTATTAAACAATCATCCATTCCATTTAATATGTAACCATGTGACAGGAAGTTGCTATTTTTATATAAGATATTTACATATTTTATTTGGCCGATTTATCTTGTTAACGTGATCATCAGCTTGATGTGAACTGAATTATAATTGTACAACCAACAAGTTTGCTCCACATATTCGCCCAATGAAGCATCTGCCATGTATTGTAAACAAGTAGCGAATCTATCATTTTCACAACAAATACGCATCGTTACGCTCTTGTTCTCTGACAGCCCTGCTCGGTCACTGTTCTATGGGGGCCGGGAACAACCCTTTAGGGTCAAGGGTTGGACACAAGAATTGGCTCATGGCTTGTTTTATCTTGAAATGGTAGACACGACCATCGATCATGAGAACGGGTACATTCCTAGCTGCGACGTGAAATAATGGCAGATATGCGAGTAGTTTTTTAACCTGTAAAAAAAGACAAAATACTGGCTGGTTTGGTCAGTCGGTGGTTTATTCAAGCGCCATACAGTAGTCAGTCAACTTATATTTCTCACGTCGTAGTTTTCTCGTCACACAACAACGCTTGGTTTGTTTTCTTCAAGTCATTTGTATTTTCTCTCTCTTTTGGTGATTCACTTAATTTACGATTGGATATATCATTGTTTTCATTCAGGTATTTGATATTTTTTTTTCTTTTCACCCGTTTCCTTCTTTTTACTGGCCTTTGTTGCTGCGTAACTTTTGGCCTTAAAGGTTTCTAGTTCCGGGGTTGATTTGTTTATTATCGATGGGGAAATGTTTCGCAGAGCCTTCTTTCACTCTCATAATTTTGAATTTCAAGTTATATGTTTGGTCCGATCTCTTAGTTCGGTTTACCGGATGTAGCGTTCAATCGAGGGGTTGATCCCCGTCCGTCTTTCAGACATACCGGACTACATATCCATCTCTCTCTATCACAATTTGTATCCACAAGATTTTATTTGAATAGAAATAATCATTCATTGTGTTAGGTTATTTTTTACCCTCTCGAGTTTCTATTTAATCTTTTTATTTGATTTGCAAACTAGATTTGTGTTTTATTCTGTAGATTTACATATTTGAATATATTTGAATAATAAGTAGGTACATACTTGATGCCTTGAATCGCTTCCATCTATCCTAATATAAAAGAGATAATTCATAGTTAATCAATTGAGTGTTCTTGACTTATACGAGGAAAAAATAAATACTAAGAACCTTTTGAATTGTTTACTTACTGAAGCTACTTTGGTCGCCATATTGAATCCAACTCCATCTGAGAATTGCAATACATTTCTAATACTACTCTCGAATACACAAGTACCAAAGAAATTATCTTCGGTATGTGAATATCCCGAATGAATAGAAGTCGTATTAAATGTTCTGTGGTTTTGTTTATTTCAGAAGAAGAGGCAAGTCCTGGTAGCGCACAGGCATGTAGTGATACAAGCAGTAATGGAAGTTCTTCAAATGTGAAAAAACACTCCCGGAAACGAGGTAAGACCATGTACCTTTTTTTTGTTAGTCAATGTATAGTTTGTTAAAAGGAACCTCGGAATACAAATAGGACAAACGATAAATGGACCCGACACACTTAGATACAAAATTTCGCAGTAGATATACGTTTGAAATAGAGACAACTTAAAATATTTAATGAAAATACATTTTAAAAATCGTTAACATATCCACAAAAAACTACTATTAAGTATCCACACTTTTAGAAAGCTAAGAACAATGTTTTGCCCATAGTCCTAAGGTATCTCTCTTATTTCCTACCTATTTTTTTCTAAAAGATGTAGAGAAATGGGTTTCCCAGTGTATATCTGTTATTGCCCACTTTATCTTTCTAAAAATAGATTTTAAAAGACGCTTTAGTTGCATATCGCTATTTGACAGACGGACCAATATTAATTATGATTGATAGTTAGAAACAACAACAAACGGCCTTTATTTAAGGTGATTTCCACTTATTGAATACGTTTTAATATGACTTCCGTAAAATAACTTTACAGATAGACGCCACCATTAATTATATCCAATCACCATGACAATGAACGGTGGCAATGGCGGAAAGGTATTTTCTGTCCCTCGTAAAACTACTAAGGAAAAAATATACAACAAATGAAAATTTTTATGAATTGATATATATATATAGGTGGTTATTAGATGTTTTTGAGTGTATATGTTTCCCATATTGCAAACCTTTTTGGTTGATTTGTAAAAATTATTTGAATCTGTTTGGGGTTTTTTTCGCAATTATCGCTTATTGATTGTATTTGGTTGATTTGTATTTGGTTGACTTGTAAAAATTATTTGAATCTGTTTTCTGCAATTATTGCTTATTGATTGTATTTGGTTGACTTGTAAACATATGAATTTGTTTTCTGCAATTATTGCTTATTGGTTCTATATAAAGACACTGGGATATTTAAAGCCTTTGATCGCCATTTGCATTTTTCACGTCTTAACAAAAGAAAGTAGATAATCTCCCTGTCTGAATTCAACCGGATTACAAAGATACACATTAAAGGTTTTTTATTTAACACGTATAAGTGACTTTGGCTTGTTTATATCTTGTGTAGAAGATTCCATATATTGCGAAATATTCAGTTCATCCTGTACTGTTGAATACTAAACGGAATTGAACCATTTTTTGGACTGATATTCCTTGTAGAAATTCATCTTTCGCAATGGTGCAGTTTGCAAGGGATTCAAATGACGATGAGCGAAATAAAGAAATAAATTAATGTATTCACCTTTCATTTCTTTGTTCTGTTTTACCTGTAACAGATACTTTCGTCTACGTTGGTTTCCTTAATAGACTTTTAACGAAACGAAGGCAAAAAACTATGTTATAATTTCTCATTAACTAGCTATAAAACAAACGACAATATCCTCCAAATTTTATCTATTAATAAATTATCAGCTAATTTCAAAAGTTTCTCCGCGTAAAGCACAGGTGTGAATAATTCATCCCTGTCGTTCTGTCAAGTTTCAAAAGTTTGTTTCAAATCCACAAACAGCGATCGAAGTGAACGTTATCCTCTATTACCTACGGACAATGGCTGCTTATTTATTATTGAGGTGTCATCATCACGCGCGATAAAGAAATTTGTTGTGTGTGTATTATCTAGGTGGAAGGATTATCGCCCCTGCCACAATACGTTTTAATTATTAAGTGTTATTATTGAGGAAAACGCGACTCACTTGTAGTGATATTTTTTGTCTGTCTATTGATACGGTGTCAACAACACATGATATCATATATAATCAATTATGTATTAATACGCTTTTATAAGGTTAGCTAATGCAAAAACATAGTTCCAAGATTCTGCAGAGAGATTAGACCCTTACCAAACAGCATCCTGGTGATGCTACTATTAGTTTTGTACTGTATGCATATTATTCTAAAATATCATTTTAATGGCGTTGCATTGTGACATTATTACACAAGCAACAATGTTTTATCAATATTATATAAGTCTTATATTTCCGAGGATGAAATATTTAAATCACATTAACGAAATAATACAAGAAGCAGGCGCTTTGTGATCTTTTAGCTCAGATTTTTTATGCTAAGCTTATTAAAAATTGGATTTAATTTCCTCCAAGGGAAAGCTGTCGGCACGTCGCAGATTTTTAGTTTACAAATGCACAATTTTTTTTAAAAGCATCTTCATAAATGAAAGCAAACGAAATAAATAACATTTTCTCTTGGGGATTAATTTCGTTGAGAAATCGATAGCTCACTGCAGGCTAATTTTAAAAAAATCATTGATTATTATTTATCTCGGGAACGTATCAAAATCTCTGGGAAATAAAATGCATGGAAAGGTACATCATTGGTCTGAACAAATGTTATCAAAATTATTGGAAATAAAATTTTCGGTCAGAAGAAATAGGGGATAATTTTCTTAGAAGAGGTTTAGAAAGCAAAACAAAATTCAATTCAGTATTAAGAAGTTTAATGGTTTCTAGATGTATTAAATACAATGATTTTGAGATTTGACCATTTAAAAGAGTATAATAATGCGGCAGCGACAGATCACTGGTGTGGAAGAACGGGAAGAGAAAAGGGGAATGAAATTAGACTTTATTACGCTTGTTGCCGCAATGCATGTTAAAACAAATTACCCGTATTAACATATAAATAATTTGTATCAGGCCTTTGTAGTTCGGCGATGGCTATTTGAAGTATTGGGTAAAAATTCAAACTGCATCTTGATGAGGATTTAGCTTTCCCTACCTTAATTGGAGCGCTGCTGTTTGATGTTTGCTGGTGTTGGGAAGGGACTTGAGTTTAATGATGGTTTAATGCTACACTGATAGTAGTTTGATGAGCAGTAATTGGTTGCTGTCAATGTAGCCATGTTTTCGTATTAGAAAGTAGTTCCACCTAGTTAGGTTAGTTGGCGAACTAACCAGAAAGATTACATGTTCATTATAATGGTCTCTATTCACTGACTGCCGTATTTGTGGCGATTTAGCCGAGTTGATTTATTCTGTCAATGGAGAGGTTTAGGCATGTTGCTTTTTGATCTAGGTGGTGGCGCGGGAGGCAAGACGGTCGTTTTTTGGATAGGAACAATTAGAGCGGCGACTACATATTATGAAGCCGTAATCTCAATACAATTATTTCTTCAGCTCAGTTCCAGCTTTAGGCATAAGCTAAACAAGCCTGAACTTAACAACCTCACGATCTGCTGAAGTCACACAGAATTGTCGCTTTCGGAGTGGCTTTTTACGTGTAAAGTAGTTTTTTATAATGGCATGTGCTTTTAAAGAATTAAAAAGCAAATATATGTTTTTGTGGTGATGCAAGGTTCTCTTTTGATACGCACGTTTTGAGACCTTCTGGTGCATTGAATTTAACAAGAAACCTCCAAGATTTACATTGCACTGAGCCTCGCCAATTTTAGCTTCTTCAGCTTGGATATTTTTAATGCTTTTTGCGGCCACTGAAATAAGGCGGGCCGTTTCGCAGCCTTAATTGTCGCTCTTGTCAAATAGCCAACGCTCATCTATTAGTAATAGTACTTGATTCATGTTACATGGCACTTCACTTCAGCACACCAACATCTTTATACCAGCAATTAAAACGGTTACATTATACATTATGCTTGTGTTGACGATATTCTGGACATAAAACCAGAAAAGATGTTTTGATTCAATATTTGCAATAATTTGTGTTTGTGTGTTGATGAAACAAATTCAATAATGACCTATCTTCCTTTTACGGGTCCGTGTGGGGGGGGGGGGGGGGGTAAGACGCTGGCTCGCTAGCCTGGAGGTCGGGTGTTCGATCCCTGCATTGGCTGAGAAAGTTCATCCAGATTTTCCGGCGTGGTTTCCCCTTGTCAGTGATGCAGGACGGAGGGGCTGACAAGGACAGCTGTCTAGTCGTGTGGATGGGACGAAAAACCGAGGTCCCGTGTACACATTGGCGTGCACGTAAAAGATCCCTTGACAGTTGGAATTCGATATAAGAGTAGGCTGTAGTGCCACTGTCCGGGCAAAATTTCCCTCATGCCCGTCTTCAACAGCCCAGTTCGGAGCAGAACAGTAGGACGTTAAACCCCATTTCATTTCATTTTCATTTGTCATTATGTGGAATCCTATATCAAAAATAAATGGGTAGAAAGATCTCAAACACCTTTTCTTATCGAATTTATCTGGTTCACTTAAGAGATTTTAACACCTTCTTAGGTCTGTGACGGTTGTTTTCATTCTTCAAGACACTTCTTTACTCGAAAAGCTGACTAAACGGTTAAAATATTAACGTTTTTCCAATAATTGGCAGAATTCTTTAGCAGATACGCAATACCCGGGTATACACTGATGTATTCCTAGCTATAGCGTCGGCTTAGTAATGTATATATGTTGTTTTTAGCGGTTCAGTAAGTCATTTAATTGTAGTCAAGGGACAAATAAAAGAAGACCATTCATTGGCCTAAATTATTATTGGGTCATGTTTTGAGCCGTTAATGTCTTGAAATTGCACCCATAAATTTGTTCTCAAATGAAGCCACCAACTAAGACAGCGATTTTGTTGGGGCTCTTATGTTTTTTGTTGGGATTTTTTCTAAATCATTTTTTAGTCTGTAAGTGTATACGGTCTTTGTTGATTACAGAGAGCGCGTGTATTCTGCAGAATTTTACAGGACAAAAAATATAAGAGTCGCTAAACCTGCCAATTTGATCCAAATGATTTTTTATCTTGATCGTATGAAAAGAAATGTTAATATTACCAGATAAAAAAATGCTGTAAAAAGATTCGCCAGTTTCTCAATTAACCTGTTCAAACTTTGCACGAAGATAAGATGTATTCTTTTTACCGTGTTTATTTTTCTTCACATGGAGAAAATGAAAATAAGGAGTAAAATACGTCTGTTGAGCAAGAAGAACGAGAAAAAAACGTTTCTGTTTTCTGTAAAGCAACACATTTACAAGTATAATTGACACATTTAGGGCACCAATATGCACGTGCTAACAAGGGG